AAACCAGCAGGACAGGATTAAAAGGCTCGGGAAGGTAACTCCTCCTTCCCGGGATGACGGGGTTCGGCCAGGGGACCCTGGTTCCACCTCCATCCCGAGATGAGGTGATAGGGCAGCCCCGGGGGAAGCAGGAGGTGAGAGCCAGCCCTGCTGGATGCTCCTCAGCGGGGATTTGGGGTTTATTCCCTTCTTTTATTCCTTCCCAGCTGCATCTCAAACCCCGCGGTTCATGCATTAAACATCCCCGCTCCCCCGGCAGCGCAGGGTGGTTGTTTGGGGTTATTACAGCGCTGTCATTAAAACCGGGCATTTTCTTTAAAACACCCCAAATTTTCCAGCCGGGCTCGGGCGGCGCGGGTGAGTCACGGCCCCGGCTGCAGCAGCAGGGCCATGCCTGAGTAGAGCTGAACAAAAGGAAATGTTTGCTCAGATGGGTCCTTCCCATCCCAACCATCCCGAGGACGGGAGGGACAGGCAGGGAGAACAGGTTATGGGGCAGGCGGGGAAGGGGAAAACACCAACAACCGGAGGCTTCCCAAGGAAATCCAAACTCCTCCGTGCCTCCCGTTTCAGAGGGGCTTTAGGCCCACAGGAGAGATCCCCTTTGCTGGAAGGTGTCCAGCAGATATCCATCTCTCTCCAGGCCATCCCATCTGGAGGATCTGCCTGCCTGCCAGCGGGGAAAGCCGGCTGGAGCGGGAGGGAGGGAGGGAGTCCCTGCCTGCCGGGGATGGAGGGAGAAGGGAATTAATTCCCTGTGGGATGAGCCCAGCTGGGCTCCGGGACAGGGGATCTGGGACAGGGATCCAGGACAGGGGATCCAGGATAAGGGATCTGGGATAGGGGATCTGGGACAGGGGATCCGGGACAGGGATCCAGGACAGGGATCTGGGTCAAGGATCCAGGACAGGGCTCCCTCCCGCCCTAACTGCACCCCCAGCCCCGTGTCTCGTACCCCAGAACAGCCTCAGTAAGCCGGGGAGCTGCTCGAGCAGCCGGGATGCTCCCGTGGGGAATGCTGGTGGCATTCCCAGCCTCTCCCAGGAGCAGAGATTGTGGATTAAAGCCTTTTTATCCCAAACTCCCCCTGGGAATGGTGCTGGCTCTCCAGGTGCTGTTCCTGGGGAGCCCTGGTGGATCCCTGGGCTGGGAGCTGGGATGCTGGAGCAGCCCCACAACCCCATCCCAAAAAAAACTGGTTTGCACTGGTTTGCACTGGGCAGGGGCCGTGCCCCGAGCCTGCTGGGCTGGTTTGGGCCGAGGCTGGACAGGAACACACCTGAGGCCGGGGGAGCGGGATTGGGGTGCTCTGGAACCCACGGGGAGGGGAGCTGGGATGGAAATCCAGCGGGATCGCCTTCCCTGGGCACCCAGGGGCCCAAACCTTGCAGGGCTGGGTGGGTTTGGCAGCTCGGCCCCAGCCCCAAGCGCCAGGAGGTTTTGGGAGGTACCTGCGCTCCCTCCTCTTCCTCCTCCACCTGCCATCAGCTCGGGGACAGGAGGCTTTGGAGTCACCTGGCCCAGCCACAGCCGAGAGCTTCTCCCTAATTACAGCTTGTCCTGGGAAAGTGGCGCGTGACGGACGGGATCCCGCCTGTCCATCACGCCCAGGGAGCTGAGCAGCCCGCTCTGGGGGGAAAAGCTTTTGGTTTCCTCCCAGTTCCAGCCCCTGCCCCGAATGCCAGCTCCTTTCCCAATGCCAGCCTCTTTTCCTCAATTCCAGTCTCTTTCCTTCCCCACTTCCAGCTTTTCCCCAATCCCAGTCCCTTTTCCCTATCCCCATCCCTTTCCCCAATCCCAGCCCCTTTTCCCAATCCCAGCCCCTTTTCCCAATCCCACTCCCTTTTCCCAATCCCACTCCCTTTTCCCAATCCCCATCCCTTTCCCCAATCCCACTCCCTTTCCCCAATCCCACTCCCTTTTCCCAACCCCACTCCCTTTTCCCATCCCCAGCCCATTCCAAGCCCCCCCAGACGCCCCCAGGACCCCCAGGAGCAGCCGGATCCCTCCGGGGCGTCGCTCCTCGCCCATCCTGCAGCACCACTCTGCCAAGGAAAGTTTGATAATCTCCCTAAGCCGATAATTACAGCTCATTAATTACAGCTCGTTAATTACCCCGCATGCAGAATTGCAGGCGGGAACCTTTACGAGCCGTGTCAGTCTAATTACCGGCACCAGGGCGAGACATCAAACCAGTTATCAAATCCCGCTGGGCTCGGCAGGGCCTGCGCTTCCTGAAGGCTTTTTTTAGCCTTCTGTAGCTTTATTTTGCTTTTCTTTCACTTTTCTTTTGGTTTTCTTTAGGTATTCCCAGGTTTCTTTAGGTATTTCCAAGTTTTCTTTAGGTATTTCCAGGTTTTCTTTGGGTATTCCCAGGTTTTCTTTGGGTATTCCCAGGTTTCTTTAGGTATTTCCAGGTTTTCTTTAGGTATTCTCATGTTTCTTTGGGTATTTCCAGGTTTCTTTAGGTATTTCCAGGTTTTCTTTGAGTATTCCCAGGTTTCTTTAGGTATTTCCAGGTTTCTTTGGGTATTTCCAGGTTTTCTTTAGGTATTTCTAAATGACCCCTGTCAACTCAGATTCCCTATTTTCCTGAACTCCCCAGCTCCCATCCTGGATATCCATCCAGGATATTCCTCAGAACAATCCCGGAATTATTTGGGCTGGAAGGGCTTCAAACCCCACCCCATTCCCCGTTTTTCCACGGGGGGAATGGCAGCAGGGAGACGATCCCCATAAATCCCAGGGACACCCATCCCCACGGAGGGAAGAGGATGGAAAAGGGAAGCCCGAGAGGAATGGAAATAAGGAACATCCACCCGAGCTCTGCTGCTGCTGCTGCTCGCTAATTGCTTGCGGCTTCCAGGATCTGGGGCAGCACTTTGGGCTGGAAAATGAATATTTAGGCGGCTGTTCATAAACGATGCAAACCCAGCGTGGGCGGGAATGGCTCCCGACGCGCTCCGGAGCGGCCCGGGGTGACAAAACCAGCCACCGCTTTCGAGGTTCCCTTTGAAAATAAGCAGGGGGGGGGAAAAAAAAAGGAGAGTTCTGTTCTTGCCTCTGGGCTGGGAAAGCGGGAGCAGGCAGGGGTTTTCCCTAGAGAGCAGAAAGAGAGGGTGGAATGCGCCCCAGGGATGTGGACGGGTCCCAAAACGCCGCAAATCCGCGTCGGGAATCCCGGGTTGGGGTCAGGGAGGTGAGGAGGGACCGGGAGCTGGGGACAGCTGGGGGAGCTGCTTGTCCAAGGCTGGGAGCTGGCCAGGCCTGGGGCCAGCTGCCCTCCCTCCCTCGCTGTCCATCCTCGCTGTCCATCCCTCCCTGTCCATCCCTGTCCTTCCTTGTCCATCCCTGTCCATCCCTGTCCATCCCACCCTGTCCATCCCACTCTGTCCCTCCCTGTCCTTCCTTGTCCCTCCCTGTCCATCCATCTCTGTCCGTCCCTGTCCATCCCACCCTGTCCATCCTTGTCCCTCCTTGTGCCTCCCTGTCCATCCCACCCTGTCATCCATCCTGTCCATCCATCTCTGTCCACCTCTGTCTGTCCCTGTCCCTCCCTCCCTGTCCCTCTCACCCTGTCCAACCCA